AGTGTCCCTGCAGGTCCATGTTTTGAGCACTAGTTAGTAGCCCTGTTTTGGAGCTATAAGTGTTGTAGGAGTTGGCACCTGGGTGGCAGGAGTGGGTCACTGGGGAAGACCTTTGACCCTGACCCCAGCCTTTGTTCTTTGCTTCCTGGTCCACACCACACAACAAGCCCCTGCCCCTGCTCCTGTCACCATGCACTGAAGGCTCAGCTTTGCTTCTCACATTGAGGGACTGTGACCCTTGGGAACTGGGAGCCAAAAATCAGTCTTTTCTCCTTGAAGTTACTGAGTCATAAGAGGATGAATATACACAGGGAACAGCAGCAACCACGTAAACCTGTACAAGGAGGAGGTTTTTTAACTAATCTTGGTAGGTTGGATACGAGAAGAGTCATTTTCCTCTACCCTTTTCTTCCCATGAGCCTCCACTGGAAAGCCATAGTGTGCATTCCTCTGCATCAGACAACTGGTGGGCATCACTTGGTCCAGCAGAATGTGGCCAAGTGGCAGTGTGACAGCCTCAGCCTCAGACTGAGACCGCTCATGTCTCTCATGCTGCTGCTCCCAGGGAACCTGGCAACCACCCTGACAATATTCCCATGCCAGCCTGCAGGGTAGGACCAGGACCACTGGCCAAAATGAAATGCAAGAGAGTGAGCCAGACGTCCTCTCAAAGGCAACTCTTTTACATTCTGATGGCTCCTGTGTGGCAGCAGCTGATTGACAGCCAAGCTTGCCCAGTTACTTCTACCTCTGGGCTCAGCAGAATAAAGCAGGTCAGCTAAAGGCCCCACTTTGGTGGACTACAGGCTTGGCTGGGAAGTGTTTTCACTTTCAAGGTGTCTTAGCAACAGCTCTATTATACAGTCCACATTATGGGAAGGGGAACAAGGACATCATGGCAGGGGAATGAGGAACTCTGGTACATTATTTCATGTGTGATAGTGGTTATCACAATTTATGATGAAAAATTACTATAGTAACAAGAAAGGACAGAAGGAGGAAATACAGGGAATAATCATACAGGAAGGAGAAGGAGCCCCACAGTCGGGAGTCGATGGCAGCCTCTCACCAGCTGGGATTCAACAATGGCTGTACAGTTGGTGTTTACTGCGAAGGTTGTCGACATGGACAATACTCTTTTCATATAGAGCTGTCTCCAAACAAGAATGTTAAAATAGCAACGAATCACACTTCATGTCTGGGCATATATGACCTTGAGTGTGGCCTTACTCCTGTCCCAGATAATTTTTTTTAAGAATCTCACAATTGAAATGTTACATTGAATATACCCTAACTTCCTGCACATCCTTTGTGATGCAGCATTTGACCTGGTCAGCTGTAATTCTATACTGCCCCACGCTCCTTAGGAACCATCCTGTGAACTCATTCAAATCCTCGTGGGCCTTTTGAAGAGACTGGCTTCAGAACCCACCAAACACACACGTCACTAATAAGAAGTCCACCGATGAAGTGTGACCCTCATCTGGAACATGATTTCGGACATACCCTGTCCTTCTACCAAGAACCTCCCTTTCTATCAGTCATACCCCCACACACTTAGATCTATGTGTTTAAAAAGAAAAGTCTTTAATAAACTCTAACTCGACCTCAGGCTGGCACATTTTGAAATTCCTTTCTGCAGTGAAATCATGAATCCCAGCTTCAATCTGAGTAGAGGAGGCCTCTGTCAGGACTGCGGGGCTGTGTGTCTCCTGCTGCACCATCGCTGACGTAACTAAAAATTACAGACTTTCAATGGAAATGCTTACAGATTGAATAAAATGCAATTACTGTCATAGACAGCGTAATTATGAGAAGGAAGCACACGGCAGTGTGAACTGTGGTGTTACTGTCCGAGCTAAGCCTCACCATGTTCAGTAAGGGAAGTCTATCACAAGTGCCCAGTTTTGAACTCAAGCCCCAACGTCATCTGCCCTTCTTGCTTTCAATTTTCCTTTCTTCTTTTATCTGCAAACTGTGACATCTCAAAGTGAAGAGGAATGGAAGACTTGCAGCAGATGGCAGGAATCCAGTATGGTTCTCCTGTCACCTCTCAGCCATCAGGACAGTTCGGGTCCGCCCCAGAGACCTGGGAACTGCAATCCTACCATCACTGCTGTGGTCGGGTTGAACAAGGGATCTTGATCTGATGTAGGTCTGGGGTAGGACAGGCACACCCTGATTTCCAAAGCTATACCTCCCTGTGTCCACAGGAAACCCTAATCAATAGGATATGAGGTTCCAACCCTTATTTTCTCCCAGACTGGAATTTTAAATTTTCTTCCACGAAAAATATTTTTATTATTTTTTACTATGCTTAGTTTCATGATGGAGGGAAATTCTGTTTCCAGGTCTAGAAGTCACCCTCTAGTGGGGTCAAAGGAGTGGCTGGGGGAGAAGGGAAGCCTGACCTGGTCCCGCCCTGCCATGGGACAGTGGTGTCAGGTGTGGTCATGGAGGCTTTCCCTCCTCTGTGGGACAGCTGCTCCCCTGGGACCTACAAGGAGGAGCCGGGCACTTCTTAGTCCTGAAACTGCAAAGTTACTAGACAATACCACATCTCCGGGCCAATGGAATTGTGCTCTTCCAGTCCACACAAAGTGCTAAGTACTGACCCAATTCCTCCAGAAAAGAACACGAACCTCAGGACCTTTCATTAGATTCTCCTTCCAGTATCCATGGCCACTGAGATCCCAGCTACTGGGCTGACTTCTGTGCAGGGTAAACCAGGAACTACAGGACAGCCCAAGCAGCCATTGTAGGGCGCATGCACGCATGCACGCACGTACGCACACACACACAGGGTGGGTGGGAGGGAGATGGGAGTAATGAAAACAAGAGAAATCTGGTGGAAAAGGGGGGAGATAAGAGAGGATAGTGGGGGCTTTGATAAAGATAATATATGTGCATGAAATTATAAAAATGAAATAGTAAAAGAACAGAATTTAACTTTTCGAAGAAATTTTACCTGTGTGTGTGTATGAGACAGAGAGAGAGAGAGAGAGAGAGGAGAGAGAGACAGAGACAGAGACAGAGACAGAGAAAGACAGAGACAGAGACAGAGAGAGACACAGAGAGAGACAGAGACAGAGAGAGACAGCCAGAGACACACACACACACACACACACACACACACACACACACACAGAGAAAGAGAGAGAGAGAGAGAGAGAGAGAGAGAGAGAGAGAGAGAGAGAGAGAGAGACTATGAGAGAGAAAAGGAGAGAGCGAGAGAGGACCGGCAGTACATGTATGCATACACACAGTCAATCTCAATACTGCTCCCACCTTTCTGGAATGTATGACACTTTAGGCCCATAAAGAGCCATCCTGGGGTATCTCAGCTCAGTGTAGGATGGGGCAAGGACCCTGCAAACCACACCACTGCTGTCCATGCATCCCCTTCCCACGCTTACGGATCAGGCAAGGTCAGTCCAGCTGTAAATGAGGGACACTAAAATCGAAAGCGCATGGGAGCCTGGGTCCTAGGATCTGCAGAGGGTAAGTGGAGGGCAACCGTTGAGGTGGGCAGTCGGCAGTCACACGTATACAAACACCTACCTGTCCACTCAGTGCTATATGTATCTGTACCCACACGTTGATGGTCACAAATGGCCTTCATAATCAAAAACATACACAGGTCAGGGATGGACCAGAACACAGGCCTGGAGGGAGAACATTCACCGGTTGCCTTGGAGGGACCTGGTTTGATCTAGATTGGCATCCCTAGACTTTCTAATAGGATAACTCAGGAGCCCAGTCACCTGACGCCTGCTCTCAGAACGGACCAGCCAAATGCTAAGGTGAACCTGAAGGCAGCCATTGCTGTCCAGTACCGAACTAGAGAAGTGGGAGACCAGCTTCCTCGACAGCCTGCACTGCTCTGTGTTGCCCCGTCTTGCCCTCATTCACCCCTTCACATCACATGCCCCAGATAACTAAGGGCTCACATTCATTCAAGAGCAGATCCACCTCTCCCTGTACATCCCGCACCAGAAGGGACGGCGGGCTCCAGAGGGACTATGGCCAGGGAACGACAACAAAAAGCCTTGTCCCTATGCTGCGCAGTCCTGCCCTCAGGTGAGAAGTCCCACGGAACTTCAGTGGTAGCATAGCTCTTGGGAGTCCCACACCCAGACAGTTAGTCACTGGGCGGTGCAGGACAGATGACTAGATAGATACTACACTGTCCTGCCTTTGTCTCTACCCCAGGCTTGCATGGAGGTGGACAAAACACCCTTATGCTGGGTTGTATGTGTGAAGGATGCCCCTACGGTGGATCTGAGGTCTCTTGATTTCTCTGCCCTGCCACTCCTCCCTGGCCTTTCTCCTCCCGGTACCCCTCCCCCCCCCCCCCCCCGCTTTATTCCTCCCTCTCTCCCCTCCCCTCCTGTCCCCTCTCCTTCTCTCCTTTGCCCTCCCTCGCCCTGCCCTCTCCTCCCTCTCCCTCCTCCCTGCTGTCCCATGGTTGGGGCGGGTGCTCCACCGCCCCCGCCACCACTGCCACTCCACCCCTGGTGCAGAGCGAAGCTGCAGTGATAACTGGTGTGCATGTGTGGTGGAGTCGCTGCCTGGAATCCCTGCGCTTCTGCGGGATCCGGTCCCCTGCTCCCTGGCACACCACTTGCACCGGGACTATCCAGTGACCCAGTGGAGACCGCTGAGCTGAGTCCTGTGAGCCCTCAGGGTGGCGGGGCCATGCAGCCGCATGGTTGTGCCGCACTCTGGGTGCTGCTGCTGGCGCAAGTCAGTGAACAGGTGAGTGAGTCGCGCAGGGACCAGCGGAGTCCCTGAAGGCGGGAAGTGCATTCCTCAGGTGGCTAGGCTGTGCAGTCCCGCGTTCTCACTGAGGTGCTTTCACTTTTTCTAGCACACACCTGCGTGCGCCCTGGGACCCTCAGCTGCAGCGTCTGAGAGTCCGCGAGAGGCGCACCCTCCGCCATCCTCCCAATCGGGCTGGCTGGAAACCGACGGTAAGTCTGCGAGGTGGTGGCTCTCGGATTCTCGCAGGTAAACGTTTGGCAACCCCCTGCCGCTGATCTGCACGCCCCTGGGGGGGGGGGGGTGCTCAGAACGCCAAGAGCTTTGAAGATGCCCTCTTACTTTTTCTTTACATTGTGAGCTCCTGCTCACGGATGACCCCCCATCAATACCTGTATCATATTTTTCCAGTGAGACAGCAATGGCGTGCCAGCGTTACATTGGAGAAAGGGTAACGTATCTGAGCGTAGGAAGACTCTAGATCACTTTATATATTGACGTAATAGACGCATCGTTAATGTGTATACACCAAACCTATCCCAGGCAGCATAGCCCCCGCTCCAGCATCTTTCCCCTCGCCCTTCTTCTCCACTCTTGACTGTCACAGCAGGAGTCAGAAGGTGCCCTCCTTAGTATCAGCTAGCAGGAGAACATCCCAAGGCACGTTCGTTCCTGTCCCGGGTCAGCTTAGGTATGAACTCGAATCTCAGTCTTCTTCAAGGTACGTCCTCCTCTGTGGTTCCCAGGTGGCTTTCCCTTGGGAGGTGTCTTTTGTCCTGGCGATGATGCCTGGTGACTGAGAAGGCAGGCTAGCGCACTGGTCGCTAGAAGGTTCTAGTCCGCTGGGTCGGCAGCACCAGTGGGATGTTACTCTCCCTGTCCTTTCCCGGGATGAAAAAACTCAGAGTGTTAGCGAGGTTGGCGACCAGGGGCGAGCCAGGTTTATCTTCTTGGTGAATTTTCAGAAAATTTATACGCTTCTCAAGAATCGACACTTTGGAAATCTTCATTATCGCTTTCTTCGTCGTGGTAAACTTAACAGAGCTGAATGATCACATTGGATGCTGAAAATTCCCCCTCCTGAATATGGACGGGGTAGTTAGGAAGGGATAGACGGGTCTCGACCACAGGCCTCTGAGCACCACTGGAGGGCGCCAGACGCAAACAGTACACTGCGGTGAGCCCGTTTTCAGAGCCTTTGTAAGGGAAAGCTGTTTGAAGCCCACCTTCGGGCACCTTCATCTCTACCGCGCTTCTGCCTGCTTCTGCCTCTCTCCCCCCTTCCGCAACATCATGACCTATGGGAGGTGTAACTGCTCTAACTTTGAACTTTCCTCGACTTTCAGAATAAAATCATGAGAATTCCGTAGGGACTCATGACGTTTTCCACATTGGTTTATTGCATGTGTAGGCTGCAGGGTGCTGTGGAGGTCGTCGGGTTTAGCATGGAGCAGGCTGGGCAATCCAGCCAGCCCACTGGGGACATGTTTACCACCACTAATGAAGGCTTTTCTAAGGTGATAACACAGACAGAGCACTGTTCAGGAAGAGAAGAGAAGCTTCCTGCCTGAGGTCATAGATCTCTCACGGCCTGACATGTCAGTTCCCGATCTCAAGGGCACTGTTTCCACGGCAGACGCTCACCATCCTGACCGGAGCATTCTGCACCCACCGAGGGCGTGAGTGATTGCCAGGGTGGTACTAACCGTGGAGACAGGATGCCTGCACACCCACCTCCTGATGCTGTCGCTCCTTAGTGACCAAAGGACAAAGTAAGAGGGAGGACCGCAGGCACACAGCAGGGGCAAGATGTGGCAGGACACACGGTGACAGGGCCAGGAGCACTCGTGACCTTCCGGTGGGGTCTGCACATGGTGGGAAGCCCGGGCTCCATGATACATGCTGATTGTTTAATTAACTTTCAAGCTAGGAGTTTGGCAGAAAGTGAGACTTGTAAGGGTTCCGGCTACTCTGCTGGATGTCTGAGGTAATTATGCAGTCAGAAAGAGAGTCTCACACACTCCTTGAAGCAATGATGGCTAACTAAATTGAGATAAATTTGATTATCAAACATGAATGCATCAGTTTACTTTTTTGATGACTCTGTATTGCTTTTTTTATTATTCAATGGTTTTTATTACATATTTATCTCTGTAATAACATCCATGGTCACCATCAAGAGCACAGCACAAATTTTTAGCTTTTTAAAAACCTTGGGCTTCCAGATCCAAGGCAAAGTTCAGAAGTTCTTTAGAATTTTACAAAGTGTGGAGGGGAGGGGGGGGCGGTGCTAGAGAGATGACTCCAAGGCTATCTGGGTAGAAAAGGAAATCTTTTTTAAAAAGCACTTTACTTAGTTAGACATAAAGGATGTATATTTGTGCCTGTATATTCCAGGTTTATAATGACTTGCATATAGACATATATGCATAAATATGTATGTAAAATAATCCTGAGATAGAGCAGACCCAGGCTGTGCTCATGAGCGTTTAGGGCTTGTGGTAGGACTTGGGGCTCTGACTCATGGCAAATACTGATTCATGTGCTGTGGATATTTTTGCTATGGCCATTTTCAAACAACCAGTGTGAACAATGTGAGGAGTAGGTATTCCCAGACCCAGCCTTCATAGGAGTCTTTGCTGTTCCCTCTGGTACACCCACTGGTATGCCTGAACTTCATGCCATCATTTCTGGACAGGAGCCTTCCCAAACTTGATGCTGTGCTCAAGAATCCTCTTGTAATCCAGCCACCGGGAGTTCTGAGTCAGGGAGCCCTTTGTGACCTTTTCTTATTGCAAACATCTGCAAGGACCAGGTCTTATTTTAAAGGGTTATCAAACTGCGGGGAGTCTCGTTTCTTTTTAAATCACAAGTCATTGGTTTGGGGAGTGATTATCTTAACATACTCAACATTAAGTTAGGGGATAGCTTTTGGTTTCTTGCAGTTATTCTTTGACTTCACTGGCCCAGCAAGTGCAGCAGGATGCTCGCCTTCTGAGCTCATTCACTGCATTCTCTGACCTGTTCACATGCATTTGCAAGTATTTGCTCCTAGGTATGACTTCCTTGATAAAATCAAGGTTTCTCAAGCTCTGGCAGGAGTAACACTTCGCTCTTGAGAGGCTGTCCTGTCCATGATCAATGTCCACCAGCCTCCTTGATGCAGGGACAGCATTCTCCTTTCCTCCTCTGTGACAACAAAAAATGGTCTGCACAAAAACAGAGCTCTTTCCTGAGAGAAGAAGCTCTCCGGGGGAAGGTGGGTCCAGGCCACAGCAAGGCATTCTGTCCCAGGTCCAGCACACAATATTTCCTGAGAGCTGGTACCGACCTTTCCAGAGAGTTCAATAAAGACAGAGAAATGAATTATATTCAAAACAACTATTAAATATCAAAATGCTCAAAGCCCACAACTTAAAAGTTTGGGGCATTTAAACCTCCCTTGATGCTGACGTTGTTGAGCCCATGGTGTTTATAGAAGGGTTTTCCTGAATGTTTTCTCCTTGGTGTCATACTGGTCATTAAACTGTCCCCAGTGAGAGTGTTTGGAAATGTTTTTCAATGCCACACACCAGGCCACTCACCCCAGGCAGCTAGGTGTCCAACATTTATCAAAACAGGACTTCTTTATATAAAAGGAAATTAGCAATAGTTGCAGAACACAATTAATACTATATGCCCCTTGCTCAGATAAAACATATTCTCTCCTCCAAGTCAAAGGCCACATGAACATAGGTTATATCATTGGGGAGTTGTTTACATTGTTAGATAGCACTCACTTTCTTATCCACTGATTGGCATATGTTCATTGTGCACATTGGTCTTTGTCTTTGGCACATGAATGTACCATGTACCTTAACACATTCACTCTCCCACCCTCCTCCTCTCCCCACCTCTGCCTCTCACCATTCTGGTTCATTGCCCCAGATAGTCTCGCTTCTAACTTAATATTGTATACGAACATAAGATTTACACATCTGTAGAAAATATCTGCTCTTCAAAATAAGAGAAAAGTTAGTGTTTTTAATTTCCTGAGTCTTATTTTACTTATTATGATGATCTATGGTTACATACATTGTCCTGCAAGCAAATAGCTTGGTTCTTTACCCTTCGTGTGTGTATGTGTGTGTGTGTGTGTGTGTGTGTGTGTGTGTGTGTGTGTGTGTGCGTGTGTGCACGCGCACGTGCGCTGCGCGCATCTACCAGCTTCCATATTTGTTCATCTGATGACCAGCACCTAGGCTGATTCTGTCACTTGGCTACTGTGAACAGTGTTCAGTGTCTCTGCTGTGTGTTGACTGGGAGCCCTCAGGGCACATATTGAGGAGTGGTATGGCTGGATCTTGTGGCCATGATCACCTTTCTATGTACAATGAAGCTCACTAATTAGGCTAAAACAAGATTTGTGCCTCTTGCCTTTATTCCACACCCCTGCAGGAGGGGGAGGAATCTAGAAGTGGTACGAGGGACTCCCCCATGAGGAGCCAGGTGTGCTAGCTAACAACACCCCAGCAGACATGGCTACCCCACAGTACAGAGAGCAGGGAAGGTGCTTTGGGGAACTACAAACCAACAGTGTGCGGACAGAGTATGTATCTTCATTCTCAGTTAGATGTGCTGAGTCCTGGTGTGCTTGCCTCTCCCCTTCACTATGTACCAAACTGTCAGATCCTCTGCTGTGGATAGCGCTCTGTACAAATAAAATGCCAGTGGCCAGACAGGAAGTATAGGCGGGACAAACAGAGAAGAGAATTCTGGGAAGTAGAAGGCTGAGACAGAGAGAGACGCTGCCAGCTGCCAGGAGGAGAAGCATGATGTAAGATACTGGTAAGCCACGAGCCACATGGCAAGGTATAGATTTATAGAAATGGGTTAATTTAAGATAATAAGAACTAGATAACAAGAAGCCTGCCACGGCCATACAGTTTGTAAGTAATATAAGTCTCTATGTGTTTACTTGGTTGGGTCTGAGTGGCTGTGGGACTGGTGGGTGAGAGAGATTTGTCCTGACTGTGGGCCAGGCAGGACCAAAAAAACTCTAGCTACAATCCTCCACACCCCTGCCTAAAATACTATAGAAACCTGTGTGTCCTACACCACCAAAGCTAAATCACCTTCTCTGATGTAGATAGCCAGTCACCTGCCAGAGCCCTGCTGCCTCCCTAATCTATGGCTTGCTGCTCAGCTCAGCCAGGTTGTTCTCACTTGCTAGACCTGTAGATGAAGCTTGGCACTGGAGAGAGACAGATGAAAGCTGGGGGACAAGAAGAAGAAGAAGAAGAAGAAGAAGAAGAAGAAGAAGAAGAAGAAGAAGAAGAAGAAGAAGAAGAAGAAGAAAAGAAGAAGAAGAAGAAGAAGAAGAAGAAGAAGAAGAAGAAGAAGAAGAGAAGAAGAAGAAGAAGAAGAAGAAGAAGAAGAAGAAGAAGAAGAAGAATCGTCATCATCTCAGGAGCAGAAGCCTGGCCTGCTCTCTGCTGTGTGGCAGGCACCATGGTCCTGCCATTCCTGTTTCCTCATCTAGCGTGGTTGTCAGAAAAGCATCCCAACAAGGCACCTGCTTGTAATCTCCAATCTTCCTTGCCTCTCCTAAACCCAGACACATGCCTTTCATGGCATGTCACTGGCTGCTGTCCATGTTTCTTTTGTTTCCCCTGTTTATTTCTTGGGCAGGACAGAATAGCATCACAGACAAGTGGCTGTGTCCACTCAAAATAAACTGGTGGTAACTACCTGGATATTGCTTCACTATAATCAAATAATACTTAACACATGGGTCTGAAAAGTGTGTCTGCTCATGAAGAATCAGAAGAGGAGCCTGATTACCAGGAGTCTCTGATCTACCTCTTTTAAGAAGGAATCTGTTTATAATTCATGGAGAGAACGTCAGAATGTTTAGAATGTTGGAACCAGTAAAACTCCAAAGGTGCTGTGTCTCGAGTCTGAAGGGTGACCCGCCTCATTGTCAGGTTAGATCCCTCGATTCCCCGTGCTGGGAGTGGTGTGCTCTGCAAGACACCTCACGGTACCTTCAGGGGAAGGCCTGAAACCATGCTGACACGTTTTTAGCTATTAGAAAAACTTCAGGCACAAAAGCCCACCAACACTCATCTACAAGTGGACACACACACACACACACACACACACACACACACACACACACACACATGCTTAATTAAATATTTTAAAGATATAAACTAAGCGAGCTAATCTCAAACTAAAATATTTTAACCTTGGCCTCGACAAAGCTACCTTGGCCACGGGTCTCAGCTGATAACATGGCTGAGCAGCCAGCTGTGACCCTGATCTAGAAGTCCAGCCCTTGGCTCCTGCCCTCCTGGAAAAAGCCTTCCCAGATTGTGGACACAGAGAAGATATTGTAAATGGTGGTAAGGAGCTGAGAAAGTCCTGGTTATCAGCTTAATAAATAAAAGGATGGTTTCCCATAATGGCAGAAGATGTTTCAATATCCATGGGACCACGGTGGTGCTCAGAAACAAAGCCCCCTCTCCACTTTCTTAGAGAGTGGTGACTCCGGGCGCAGATACTAGGTGATTCTGCGGTCTTGGCTGTGTATGTCTGACAGTGTCTTTGAGAGTTTCTTTTACTGTTATGAACTAGTTTAGTTGAATGTGCTTTAAACCTAGACACCATAGAGTATAGTGTTAAGACCTGAGCCAGAAACATGCTGCTGACAGTGTCATTTGTCCCAGACGGACAAAAGGGAGACCAGGGAAATAGGAAGGTCTGCGGTAGTTCAGGAAGTTCAGCACATGAGAGTATCTCTGTACAGTAATCTATGAGTCCTGGGGTGTGTCTGTAGTCTACATTTCCTCCTGTGTGTTCAATGCTTTCAGAATTAAATAAACAGCAAGAAAAATTATCATTTTTTCCTTTTAATTATGGTACTTGAAGCCAAAATTTCTTCTCAGTCCAGTATAGATTTTTATACAAAATATAAAGTGTATGAAGAAAGGAATGCTTCACAACTATTATAAAACAGAAGACCATCTTGCCATTTCCACCCAGTAAGAGATGGTGGGGAGGGGGGGAGGGGAATTCAACATCCACCTGGTCTCAAATTCACATGGAGAGATAAACAACGGAGATAGTGAGGAAATGTTGGAAGCAAACTTCAGATAAATCTCCGCTGCCATGACACTTTATTACTGATACAGCAAATTCCACTGCACATTAAAGAGGGAACAAATGCCACATCAGACAAGAATTGCTCTTTCAGGATTATATTTCATTACTGACGGAACAGCTATCGTATGTAGTCAATCTGAGATTCTTCTCAGAACTCCGGAATTACTCAGCATCTTCTCCTTTCTCAATTTCAGAGTATGACCTGGTGTCTGCCTATGAGGTGGACCACAAGGGGGATTATGTATCCCATGACATCATGCACCACCAGCGGCAACGGCGGAGGCGGAGAGCGGTGGCCCAGCCAGGAGGAGATGCCCTGCACCTGCGCCTGAAGGGCCCCAGGCATGACCTCCATCTAGACCTGAAAGCTGCCAGCAACTTAGTGGCTCCTGGATTCATGGTACAAACTCTGGGGAAGGGGGGCACCACATCTGTGCAGATGTTTCCACCGGAGGAGTTCTGCTTCTATCAAGGCTCCCTGAGGTCACAGGGCAACTCCTCAGTGGCCCTTTCTACCTGCCAAGGTTTGGTGAGTACCGACGACAGCGGTCGCTGTCAGCTGGGAGTGAGGTGCCAATGGCGGTTGGAGAGAAGAGGCAAAGCTAGGTTCCCTGAGAACGTTGTCACTTGTTCTGCTACCCCAGTAGACATTTTTGTGATCTGTGACAGCAGGTGGAAATTGCCAAGTAGCTCTCGAAACTGTTCTGTGCTCTTTTCTTGGGTCAATAGAATGGTCTCTACACCCACCCTTTTGTACTCTGAAAAAAAAAAAAAAAAAAACCTGCAAGAACACTTCTGTTTAAAAGAAACACATAAGAAATTGTGGCCAGGTCTGAATACATTAATGATTTTGTTGTTGTTGTTATTGCTATTAATTTCGTGTGTGGGACCACAGTGGAAACTGTAGAAATTGTCATTGTTTTGGACCAGTCACTGTGTTAATGACTTGGTTGTCTTGGCTATTTGATAGGATGTCTGAATCCACTAGAATGTTGCATCTGCTATCTCAGTACACAATGTCTGTGTACTGACAAATCAGGGCATTCATCCATGCTGGGGCCATGCTGGTCCTGTTAGACTGTGAATCTATCCAGGTGCTTCCAGATCTCTGAGTATCTAAGCAGACACTGCTCTCAGCTTCAGGGAGCTCAGAGCAAGGAGCATGTGACCATGCTGCAACTTTTTATCTTAGTCCATTGTCTTAGTGCCATGACAAGTTGCCCTCACAGAAGTAACTCAAGGAAAAGGTGGTTTACTTTGTGTCGGCTTTCAGTTCAGTCCATCATGGCCGAGATACCACGGTGGTAGGGGTTTGAGGCAGCTGGTGACAGGACATCCACAGTCAGGAAGTTGAGGGAGATGAATCGAGGTTCTCAGCTTGCTTTCCCCTTTTTGTACAGTCTAGGCCTCCTGCCCAAGGAATGATGCCACCCAAAGTTAGAATGAGTCTTCCCACCACAGTTAACCTAATCTAAATGGTCTGCCATAGGCATAACTGGAGGTATGTTTCCATGGCAACTCTTAATCCTGTCAAGTTGATAATAAATATGAACCATCACTGCAGGTATCCCTTAGGCTTATACAGGCAGAGATCTGGATGGGTTTTCTTTTACTTTCCTTAAGATAATTCTATCTTTTAAAGAAAAAAAGGCAAAAATAATTTTAGAGATGAATGAGAAAAGTAGAATGTAGAGGACTGAAAATACATAGAAGTTGATACTACATTGAATCTAAAATTGAAAGTAGTGAATGAAAACAAAAAATAACTGCACATATGTAAGATGCTGCTATGATGAAATCTACTACTTGATATGCCAACATTAAAAATTAAATTAAAAATCTGAAAAGATATCAAAAGGATATTAGTCTTAACTTTGCTGACTTATTCTCAAATTTAAATCCCTTCTGGCTCTTGCTGTAGTTTGAATTCATCCCTCAAAATTCATCTTTTGGAAACATAATTCCTGGTGTGTCAGTGGTTGGAGAAAGCACCTAGTGAAAGTTCACTTTTTCACGAGAACTTATGGATGAACTCATGTTGTTATTGCAGGAATAGGTCAATTAGTGTGTGTGTGTGTGCGCGCGCGCGCGTGTGTGTGTGTGTGTGTGTGTGTGTGTGTGTGTGTGTGTGTGTGTGTGTGTGTACATGTGCATCTGCATGTGTATTTTTTCTCAATAGATTTTTTAAATGTTTATATTATTATTGCTAATTATTAGTGTGTGATGTTTGTGTACTACACGCAACAGTGCATGTGTGGAGGTCAGAGGAAAACTTTTTGCAATCAGTTCTCTCCTTCTACATTTATATGGGTTCCAGGGATTGAGGCCGGTCATCAGGGCTGCACAGCAATTATGTTACCCACTGAGCCATCTTGCCAGCCCAGAATTTTCTAAAACAATGATAAATTTCTAGAGAGCCATTTTTCTAAAATGATAAGAGGCTTTAATTCGAATGAAGGAATTTACTTTTCTTCATCTGCTTTATAATCTAATTTAAAAAAAAAAAGAAAATACATAGAGGATGTTAAAGATTTACCAGAAAATATTTGGGCATTGACTGCACTTCTAGAAAAGGCTTCTAGTCTGTCTGATACTGAATTTCCTCCTTGGAAAGGGAGATTTCAGTCCCTGTGTCTCAAAAGAAATCTGTGTATGTGTGTGAGTAGTAGATGCCACAAGGATGCTAACAGCCATCACCTTACAGTGCCTAAGCACATGTAAAATAATTCTAAATGCTTTTAGTATATTAATATTTTCTTTGGGTGAAATCTGATATGAGCTGATCTCATGCTTGCTTCTATTTGTAAGAGATTTGGGCTAGAGAGTAGACAAAGCCGTGGCCCGAGCTAGGGTGGAGGTTCCTTAACATTCTTGTGAAGCATGAAGACACACGGGTGATTTATTCCATATTACCAAGAAAAATAAATCTCCTTCAATTAAAGACCCAAAATTCTCAGGTAAAATACACACAAAAATTTAAGACATCCTTGGCTTTCTTCCTGAAAGACTTTATCCAGAAAAGGAAAGTATCTATGAGCTATGCCTTTCAGAATTTAACCACCTTGGGTTTGTCCATAGAGATTGGGGAAGGTGCTTCCAGTCAGCCCTGGGATGAAGGTGCCCTGATGACCTGGGCCTTCCCTGCAGCAGAGCCCTCCACAGTAGCTTAGTTATCGCCTGAAATCTGCCCATGAGTCTAGATAACTGGTTTGAGATTTTTGATTCTCTGTGAACTTGATGAGAATTAACAGCAAAAGTTGTAAACATGTATTGTTGGAAGATAGAGAAGTGATAAAGGGTAGACCAGAAGGCTTCCTCTGACCTATAAACAGTGGAAGCTGATATTGGCACCATGAGAATGTACTTGACCCTTGAGCTTCCAAATGCACAGGGTGTGGCTTTTCTTTCTCTCCTAGCAAAAGAATTAGAGGTATTTGATGTAATACGGGACAAATCCGTGGCATTTTAAAGAAAATCACACATGTCCTCCATCTTTAGACAATGCAAACCTCAAGCTGGTTCCCAAAGAGCTGTGTGCTGACTAATTTTATGTCAGCTTTAGACAAGCTGGGGTTATCTGAAAAGAGGGAACCACAATTGAAAAAATGCTTCTATAAGATCTGGCTGTAGACAAGCCTTTGGGCATTTTCTTAATTAGTGATTGATGGGGGAGATCCCAGCCCATAAGGGTGGGGCCATCCTTGGGCTGGTGGACCTGGGTTCCATAAGAAAGCAGTCTGAGAAAGCAATGAAGAGCAAGGCAATAAGCAGCACCCTTCTATGGACTCTGCATCAGCTCCTGCCTCCAGCTTCCTGCCCTGCTTGATTTCCTGTCCTGACTTCCTTCAGTGATGGACTATGAACTGGAAGTGTACACCAAATAAACCCTTTCCTCCCCAGATTGCTTTTGGTTATGGTGTTTCATCACAGCAGTAGAAACACTAATAAAGTCAAGCTGTTAAGTCTGTTCTGCACTCCTGACTGTGGTCACCCTATCATTCAAATCTGTGCACATTAAATGACATCTCCTTTCCTATTCATTGTCACATTGACTCTCACATTCAGTGGAAGTCAGTGGCAGATGTCAGCTCTTGGATGAATCTCTAGTTTTATTTGCTGTTGATACCGAGGATAGAACCAGGGCCTCTCTGCTGCCAGACAAATGCTGTTCCTTGTGAAACACCCAAGACATGAGCTGAGGTCTGTGCAGGGTTTCTCTCATCGCCCCCCCCCCCCCCCCCCCCCCCCCCGCTGCTGCTCTCTATGGGAGGCAGGAGCCAGAGAAGCTTTTGCTCTCTCCTTGACATCAAGCCAGGGCTTACTGATGCACGATCACAGAAATGCTGGGATTTTTCTCCCTTCACCGACAGTCAGCAAAGAGAAAGGAACTGCAAGCTCAGCCTGGCCTCCTGGATAGGTCTGTGATGGGATTTTGTGAGGTCAGAGAGAGGAGAAGCTGTTCTTAATTGGATGATGAGGTCAAACTTTATACTTCTTTGTACAAACATGGATTGTCTCTGTGGTTTTATGCAGGTATGCCAGGTTCTACAGGGGAAATTTTGAAAGGCCTTTACATAGACAATCTGATTTCGAGGCATATCCAATCTTGTAGAGACAGCTCTAAATTGTCCTCCAGTGGTATCTGGAGGCCTTTTCTGGAAAGACAGCTTAAGCATTTTGTTATTGAAAGGATTTGTGTCTGGTGTGCACAGGCCATAGCCATTGATTTCATTATTACCCATACTTTGGCTGAGCCTAGTGGATATGCTGGAGGCAATATCTTGTCTAGCAGAAAATACTGTGTAACCCCTGCTTAACCCACAGAATGAAAATACTACTTTTCATTCAAAAACATATTGCTTAAGAATGTAGTATGTTTACCATTTGACTAGAGAGAATGGTGTATGTCTGTAATAAAACACAACTTTCAAATATATATGTGCAGATATATATATATATATATATATATATATATATATATATATATATATATATGTGCCCCACCTTCCTCCATCCTCAAATTTTGATCTTGGAAACAGCCTTTTAATAATCCTCTAGGGAATGAGGGTTACTGTGAAAGTTAATTAATAGTGCTTTCCTGTTGGTAATAAATAAATATTCACCAGAAAAAGATTAAAAAAAAAAAAAAACACTAAAACAAGCAGTCATTTAGAAGTGACAGTGAGAGCAATGGGCCCTGTCCTGGTTAGTTTTTATTCTCAGCTTGACAGTAGCTGGAGTCACTTGGGAAAACAAAATGTCAGCTGAATAAATTGCCTCCATTGGGTTGGCTTGTGGCCGTGTCTGTGAGTGACTATTTCGGTTGGTGATTAATATGGGAGGGTCCAGCCCACTGTGGGTGGCACCACCACTAGGCAAGTGGGCCTGGGCTGTGTAGGAGAGACCTGAGTATGAACTTTGTAGTAAGCCAGTAAGTAGCTTACTACTTTGTAGTAAGTCAGTAAGTAGCATTCCTCCACGGTTTCTGTTGCATTCCTTCTTAAGTTTCTGCCTTGATCTCCCTTGGAG